TAAGAAAACTAGCAAATGTGGAATACCAATTCTAGAGAGAAAAAAAATGCCATCATACATGGCAAACGTAGGAAATGAATTTTCAATTCCAACTTCCATGAAAAATAAGGGCCTATCAAACAGGCCCCTAAGTTATTAAAAGAATTATATTGTGTCATTGTTTGGTAAAATTATAATTTTTTTTTCTATTTACTAATTATAGCTGAAAATTAATAATTTCTAATATATTGTACACAACCAGTCCTGAAAATATTCATGCCTTAGACGATAAATTATCACGAGTTCCCTATACATAATTTTTTTACAAGCATATTAGCAATAAACAAGGCCAAATCAAACAGTTTCTCATGATAAGAAATAACATATAGTACTCATTCACCATTTTATTTGTTCGAGAATCAATTTTCGTGTTCAAGAAATACAATATAAAGGTTTTTTTGAAATTAGAGAGGTATGAGGTAGTGACTACTATTTATTAATTAAAATATCTTATATTTAGAAATAAAAATTTAAAAGCAGCAATAAATTAAAAGACATTATTGGTAGGGAGACCCTACTTCATTTGCACTACCATAAAATATCTGAGTGGAAATTACACCCAAACATGTTTTTCAACTTTCAATTTCAAAAATCAAGTATAAAAATTATTTATACAAAAATTGTATCATAATTTATTTTTAGTATTATTAATATTATTAAATCAATTAACCTACCACCATATATCCACCCAACCCAACAAACCCTCATTCATTTCATACCAATCCATTTTGCTTCGTCATCTCACATATTCGCCGACAACCGGCAGCTTCAGCACCTTGTGGGACAGGCGCAGCGTCGTTACCTAGTGCAGCAATGGCAATCCCTCAGGCACCGCCATGCACAAAGCAGGGAGCGGCGATCCGTCGCTGCTTTATTGATCTTCGCGGCTCACGAAGTAGTGACAATGTGCATGCATCACTGCTGCTTCGTGCACAGCAACGTTTTCTTTTTGTTTTCTCTTTTATTTTCTCTTCATCTGTTGTTTGTTGTGTTGATGGTTGTGGTGTGGTAGAGGTGACGAAGATGGTGGATTTGAGGGGGTAGTGATGGTGATTTGTGGATACAAGCTGTGGTAATGGTGTGGTGGGGATAGTGGTTGCAGGTTTTAGAATTTTTTTTGTTGGAGTGGTGGTTGCGGTGGTGGTGGTACATGTGGTGATGATGGTGCTACGGGGGGTTGGTGAAGGTGGTTGATTGAGGTAAGGCTTTGGTTTTGGTTGTTGCAGTGGTGGTGGTGACGGTTTCCATATTTTAGTGGTGGCGAGCGACAATGCTGGTCAGTGGTGGTGATGTTGGTGGTTAGTCGTGGCAATGGGTGCGATAGTTGTGGGTGTTTGTGATCAATTAATTGATTAATTGTGACCAATAAATTGGTTCATTTTTTACCAATAAATAATATATGATCAATTATTTGAGATTGTGACAAAATAAATTGGATATTTTGTGAATAATTTGTGACTGATGAATAATATGAGACCTACACATTTGAAAATATGTGATAATTAAATAAATTGTGGTCAATAAATTTTTTGATTTGTGACCAATAAATAAATTATGTGACAAATAAATAAGTTGTAACTTTAAGTATGTAACTGTGACAATTAATTGTATAATTGTTACCTTAGTATATTTAATTAGTAAAATATTTATTTATCACTCGAGTTTTGAAAATTTAAACTTATTGTCTGAGTTTTGAATTGACATATAATTTACACCTGATATACGAATTTTTCTCAATATCTAATGTAAGAAAATTGAGGAAATTCCATAATAATTATTTTTGGGCTTTCAAAACAAATTTGAGGCCCCCTTATAACTTGAGGCCCCAGGCCCCAGAACCGACCTTGATATTGTACATGCATAACACTATTATTTATTTATTTATTATTATTATTTGTGAAAATTTAAGAAAAAAACTCATTATAAAAGATCGCTATTGAACAAGCAGCACAATAGAAAGCAAAATATAAGGGAGCTAGTTCAACATGATAAATGAGTATATAGTTAGAAAGACATATTGGTCTATTTGTATCTGTACGCAAAAAAACAATAGAAACTACATCGTACCTTTCATACTAGAGTTACAATATAGAGTAGAGTTAGACATTTGGAAGCTACGGTGCTCCCTGCTCCGAATAACACTCAAAGCATCACATTCGAATGCATTGATAATTATAATATCAAGATCTTTAGCAAACGTAAGGTCGAACACTCTATTGTCTTGACATCTCAAGTTTAGGAACGGATACATGAATTTATGTTGGGAGAGATGGAATTTAAATTTTTTAATCTAATAAAATTTATATGTTCTTAAAAAATCTCATTCGATATAGAGTGTCAAACAATTGGCAAGAAATCCATCCTTTATTTTGTTATGATGTACTGCCCTCACATGTTTCCTTGACGAATGATTGCTTAGCAATGGTGGTAAAAAATCGGTAATTTTGGTGCAAATGATTCTTTTCAGACAGATTTCATCAAAAAGAGCTGTTGTTTTTGTGCGTGAAATAAATTTTATTTTATAATAAATTAAATTATGTAGTCCAAACTTTAACAAAAGTAGTAATCTTGTCCCTAATCAAATTTTGTCCCTAATATTTGAGAAATAGCAAAATCAATCATCCTACCAATGTATTTGACAAATAATCCAACCTTTAAAGTAAATAAATTTCAAGACAACTTCGTTATTCCGAGGCCATCTCCACCCTACCAAGAACGCTTCTAGTCCTCCACTACCACATTGTTGCTACCTCCATACTATCACCACCACCCTAAAAAGGGAAATTTCTATCATAATTCACCAGCAAATAGGGAGAAAAATCCCACCATGATTTTGTAGCAACAAAGAGGTGATCCTTCCTGTTGGGTTTTGATACTCAATAAATTCGAGCAATAATGTTAAAACGATGTTAGATAAGTTATATCGACATCTTAGTGATGATTCGACCCATAAATAATTTAGGTCACTAAAAGCAAGTTAATTAAATTAATGTTGAATGCCAACACTTTGTGGATGGCCAAGTTGAAGTTGGATTTGAGGAAATTATACCTACACCTGCTTTTAGATTTC